GAGGAGGAGGAGGGGGAGTAGGAGGAGTAGGAGGAGGAGGAGGAGGAGGAGGGGGAGAAAAAACGAGGGAAGGAAAAAAAGGAGGACGAAAAAGGGGATACGGCGGATGAGGAGGATTATTGCAGTAGTATTTATTTCAGCAATAAAATCCTACATTAATCATACTTACAAATAATTATGGAAATAATAAATGATCACCTATTTTATCTCACAGCTGTGCTAGAGAGCGCCCCTGTCGGCACGACTGTGTACACTTTCTCTTCGACGGATGTGGATGCCACAACCTTGTTCTCGACACCAACCTACGCCTGGGCAGCTCCCTGTCCTACGCCCAATCCTAACAGAGACAAGTTGCTGCTTGTTCCTAACACAGGTAATGTAGTGAGAAAATTTCGTAAAAAGTGTCTTTCCCACGGCCACAACGTCGGGATCCTGAAGGGATTCCAACTCAAGACATTTCGGTTGCGAACTTGACACCCTAACCACTAAACCACTGACACCACTGACATAGCTCAGTTGATTTGGTCGATAACATGTAGGACACGGAGGGCTTGTTGTGTACTTACTTACTTACTTGGTTGGAGAATAGGCATCACTGCAGGCGGCACAATGCCATAGCTGTTCCTCCCTCCTCCCCGGGATCCATGAAAGGGTCAGCCTGCTGATCGTGCCAGTTAATAGTTGGTTGGATATTCTTCTGGCTTTTCCACGCATGTTGCTGTCTCTCCCCGACCCTCTAGAGACACTAGCTTCCCTTAGTCTATCCATTATTATGTGAAGGGAGAGGCTGAAGTGTTTTTTGTTTGTTTATTTGTTTGTTTGTTTGTTTGTTTGTTGTTGTTGGTTGGTTTTTTGCGTGGGGGAGGGGGGGTATTAGGAATACCACATATTTGGTTGCTCATTTGCAATATAATTTTGAGATGCCTTAGATGCTTTTTTGAGACTACGAGCTTTTTAAAGACAATTAATCTTTGCTTTCATGAGTTGTTCTAGTAAACAGAATCTTGAGTGTAATATGTACTAGTGAGCAAAAGAAACCCAAAATCCTGTTTTCCTTTGCAATGGTGATCATCTTCTTTTTCCATTTTTTACAAAATGGAGAAATTCAAATTAAAACTGTTTTCTGGCATTATGAAAGGATACCTGGGGCATCACTGTGAATATTAAATTTTAACGGGATACATTTTCTACTTCCGGTTAATACATCAAAATGCTCAGTAGTGGTTATGGCCACCATTAGATCGGATAACTGCGGTGCATCTCAGATACAAGGAGGCCACTTGGTTGTTAGTAAAACGTTGCGGGATCTGCCTCCATATAGATGGCCACATCCAGTTCCTGCGTGATTCTCAGCTTTGGTTGTCTCCCCTTGATGCGTAGTTAAATTTTTTTCCGAAAATTCTTAATTGGGTATAAATCCGTGCTAATGGCAGGGTGAGGCTGCAGAATGATGCCATGGTGTTGGAGGAAAACCTGTGTAACACGGGAAGTGTGCGCACAAGCATTGTTTTGCTGGATCCGGAAGTTAAAATTTTATGTGGGTTGAGGGGCCTAAAAACTCTTTCTATGCAGCGGGCAGCATTGGTACCTTGACCTCGACCTTGGCCTTAATTTTGGAAGATCATTGGTCCTACTTTGTGATTCCACATGATTCCACCCCAGATCATGACGCAATGTCCTCCCCAGTGATTCCTCTCTATGACACAGCCGTCACAATTACGTTCGTCTCCGTCTTGATAAACTATGACGCCCCTGTTTGTTGTATCTATTAAGAACAGGCATTTGTCCGACAATGAGAACCGGAGGACCAAAGACCAGACTCTCAGACGACTCTTGGCATGGTGTTGGGCCCCCCTCATATGACCGTCTGTAGTCGCCAGCGCTGTAAATCATTTACCGAAACAAAAGCTTTAGGCTTAGTAGTACATTTAAGCAGCTGGCCCAATTACTGCTTTCAGGAGCTGTCCTGGTCAATGGAGCCTTGAGCGCAGCCGACTCCCCGTGGGAATGCAACGTTACAGTGTACTCCGGGAACAACTCGGCCTCAACCACAAGTGAAGCAGTTTCTATCGCAATAGACGCTACAAACATAGCCCCGCCAGTCTTTGAGGAGGGTGGGAGTCCGGTGGTAAGTGATAGATTGACAGACAGACAGACAGACAGACAGACAGACAGACAGACAGACAGACAGACAGACAGACAGACAGACAGACAGACAGATCGAAATTTAGATAAATATGCAAATTAATGTATACGTGTAGAAAGGTAGAGAGTGAACAGTTAAAAGAATGGATTATTCAAAGAATGGATGGGTTTTGGGTTGGGGGGAGGGTGGATAGGTAAACGACTAGATAAACAGAATAATAGAAATATATTTTGATAGAGGGCGGGTTATACGGGGTGCCCATTTTGGATTGGATCGGCGGATCAGGCCGATCGCCGGACTCAGTCGCCTAAAAAACAAACGTGTTTGTCTTTAGTTTCAGGCGACCGAGTCGGGCGATCGGCCCGATCCTGCCGTAATGGGTACCCTGTACTAAACCTCAACGGAAGTGGAAACAGGGCACAGAAACATGTATAGGAATGAAGACAACTCAGGCAGACAGAATTTCAAGAGACAGAGTGTTGATGTATTGAAGAGAAGTTATATGAAGAAGAATTTTGATAGATGTGCTGACACGTTCGCGCGCAGTCTACTAACACAGTCAAAGAAGCGAATAAAAGTAGGATGACTGAATGAATAAGGAGAGTAACACATTAAAACACACATAAATACATAGATAAACACTATCAATTAGTATAGAATAATACCATACCAAATTCAAAGATGATGCATGGCAATAGTCTTGGAAAAAATCATTTTGCGTCCTCTCTCTTTTCGTAAAAGTTAGTTTATTCAATTTCTTTTAGCTATCTGCAGTCAAACTACCTACCAGTTTGTAGTAATATCTAAGGAAAGACCATAGCTGTCAAATGTCAAAGCGATATCTGAATTGATAATTTCAGAAACATTTAATAACTAAAAAGTTGTTTTAAAAACACAATTGCTTGCATTATAGTTCTAACTAAATCACTTAAAAATAACATATACTTAATAGATCTATATGTATGTAGCTAGTGGCGTCGGTGGCCTAGTTGTTAGGCTCTCGGACTCGCAACCGTAAGGTCGTGGGTTCGAATCCCGTCAGGGACCCGACGTTGTGTCTTTGGGAAAGGCACTTTACACGAATTTTCCTCACTTCACCCAGGTGGGAATGGGTTCCCGGCTATAGGCAGCGAAAGATCTTGTCAGTTTGTTAGTGTTTGAGCGCTTAATCAGCTGCTTGCACTGTATGCTTCCCGGGAAGCTGAGAATGTTTCGGAGTGTTCTATGGTCTGCTGGGGTAATAATATAGTGTAAAGCGCATAGAGCCTGCTGTTGAGCGGGGATATGCGCTATACAAATGCTATTCATTATTATTATTATTTTTATTATTATTATTATTATTATTATTATTATTATTATTATTATTATTATTATTATTACTTTTTCCAAAGCTTTTTCAAAGTTCCTGAAGAAAGTTATAGATCACAGATAAAGCTATAATGTCAAAAAGAAAGAAATCAGTCTTGGGGACTTTGAAACGTTTCCTGGAGCCCCGTAATGTCGTTTCTCATATACCAAGAGCACACTTCAGAGTGTTTCATAAAATCACTATTTGCTATTTTTTTTATACATTTGAGGGCGGCCAGAATTTCCTGGATTAAGGTACTCAGCTAAGTCTAATCCTCCAATTTCAAAGAAATTTGTTTTGTTTTCAGGTCACAGTTTGGAACATCTGATCAACCAATCAGAAAGCTTCTACGTGTCATATGACTTTTCGGGGTTCGATCTTTTGCTTGCCAGTGGAATGTGATAGCCATTTCGGGCTTCCGGGTCAAATCTGACAAAGAAAAACAGATGTCTGTTTGATACACTTTGCGGTGGCCAGCGGCATTTCCTGTCCCGACCCGACCCGACCCGACCCGACGACTAGTTTCCTAAATGATCTACTTTGTGTCAATGGGGCCGAAGGGGCCGTAAAACGTCCTATTACTGACTTACTGACTGACTTACTTACTTATTACTCGTTACGCCATATGGCGTTTAGGGCAGCAATAAAGGATCTCCAGCTCCGTCTGTTTTGAGCCATCTTGGTCAACGTCCCCCACGAATGGTTCCATGATTTCATTTCAGACTCTACTGTGCGTCTCCAGGTCACTTTGTGCTGACCTAAAACTTCCTATATGGAGCAAAAAAATCTCTATTTTTCGTCTGTTCTTTCAGACTCTGTACCAAGCATCGATCACGGAGGCTGCATTTCCTCAAGTTACTCCTGTCACTACAGTGACTGCTGTTGACCCCGACACGACTGCCGTCACGTACACCCTTATCACAACAGGTATTGCGTCCACACGATATTCTTCCTTTACCCTGGTTGATTGTCTTACACATTAAACGATGTATAGGAACATTCTATAAAGCATGAAACTGTAGTTTATTAATTAATTAATTAATTAATTTATTTATTTATTTATTTATTTATATATATATTTATTGGTTGATTACAGGCGAGTTTCCCCTAACAACACCAACCCCCCACAAACAACAACAATAACAACAACAACAACAACAACAACAACAACAACAGCAACAATAATAACAACTAACGCGGTTCTATCAGTCTTTACAATTATTTTTTTTATCAGCGGGTCATATTCCCTGCGTTGTGTATTTTAGTACACTTTCATATTTTATGGAATGGCCCTGTAGTAGAATTCTTCTGAATTAGAATTGGAAACGTCTGAATGAATGCAGGTGTTTTTACACCCCTATCAACGCAATTTAGATAATTTAGGAGGATGGTTTCCACCTGCCTGCCAGACCCAACCTGGCTTGAGGCGGATACATAGCACCAGCAGAAAGACCGTGCAACGGGGAAAAGATTCTTCCTACACGGTAATCGAAATCAGTTCATCTGTGTGCGATAGGTCCTAACCTCTGCACCACAGACGCCGGTTGAGAATGTCTGACGCCCCCATCGTTTAGATGATTTAAGGGGACAGGCTGTTTCGACCTTGCCTGTAAGAGCAAACCGTGGCCAAGATAATACAACATCCCAGCGGACAAAAGGAGATATTCGATTTTAAAAAACCCAACAAAAACCAAAAAAACCCTCCACGTTCGAAAATCGAACTTTCGTATTTTGCATGCAACAGCAGTGGACCTAACTTCCATACCCCAGACAGCAGTATGGCATTCGGTTACAACGAAAAGTTGTGCAAGTTTGCATAATTATTGTCAGCAGCGTCTTGTTTGCATTGCTCAGGACTACTCATTTCTTTTGTAAATGTAAACTTGCCACCCTTTACCAACCCCTTTCCCCTCCCCAATAAAATCTTTTTAAAAATTTAAGCTTACTCGAGCCTTGTACGAACATCCGGGTTTTCCACTCTACAAAGGACCAAGTTGCTTTAGTATAATCATAGCTATCTAAATCGGATTTGGATAGAAGTGACGTCTTAAGCTAGAGTAACTTTTAAGAATGGGGTGTGGGGGGATCCAAACTAACCTTTATCCATTTTTATTTTACCCCAGGCTCTCCATTCAGCGTAAATTCGAATACAGGAGTTGTCTCACAGGACAGGCCTGTGGACTACGAGACAGACCAAGATTTCCTGTTGGCGATACGAGTAAGTCTGAAGTCTTTTAACTCTACCTACATAAAACTGTTTTTTATTTCAATCTATCTTGTCTGTTAACATATTTGTCTGTGACATAAATCCAATGTCCTGAAGCATATTTCTAAGCCACATCTTCAGTGACTTTAACCGAGAAATCCCCTTCCCGTCGCTCCTTCTGAGCATTTTGGGAATGGTCTCTGCCCCACACACTGATATACCCCCCCCCTCCCACTGACTGAAGTGTCCTTAGGCCATTCCCAAAAGAGGGGACATTTCTCGTTCTAAAGCACAGTAGAATTGTAAATGAGCTGATCGAACAATGTCATGCTCATTAATGTCCCTGAACTACAACATGGAACTGATGTTTTTTCTTTCCTAATCCTTACTTTCGTCACTTTCCTCTACTTCTTTTGTAAGTTTGTCACACTCTTGTGGCTCGCTATTTCCGGGGTGCCTTATCAGTTTAGGCAAACTTTGTGCTGCTGAAGCTAGAGAGGTGATCAGAGTAAGTCTGATTTCCTGTAAGGACTTCTCTATTGACATCCACGCCTTGGCGCTCATATGACCTTATGTAGTTGCAAGCGCCGTAAAACCTCTACTTCTAAAACTAAAACGCACTGATAGTGTTTTCATTTGGGGTTATTTGCACTGTACCCGAAGGGCATTCATAGTTAGGGATAGAAGAGGGTGAATGGGTCAAATGGTGGCAAAATTAAGGTTAACACACGTCGTTTCTCAAGGTAGCTTTGAAAGTTTGTATTGTTTAAAGGTGTTTCATGGCGTTCCACCTACTAGATTCAGTTCTATCGGATACAAACTTTGCAATCAATGGTCGGGCCTCTAATAAAATGTACAATGTGGAAATAAGAATTGAGCTATTACCATTTTTTTTTAAAGTCAAGTAATACCCTCCTCCATTCCCC